ATTTTATGTTGCTTTTTTTTTTAATTTTGCCCTAATATAGAAAATCTTTAGGATTTATAATTGAACACAGAAGAAATAACGATTCAAGAAAGTGGACCCAACTCAACTATGAAGAATATGGTGTATGTATTAGAAATTTAACAATTTAATATTGACATTTAGTACTAAATAAAAATTTTTAGATCCAATTGTCTAACGCTGTCGAGAAGAATCAGAAAAATGAAATTAAAGGTTTGGATTCTGTAGCCTCACCTTTAAATCATGAAGAAAGCAGTGTAAGTATCAAAATTTGTATAATAACTTTATATAAGTTATATATTATATTTTAGTAACAAAAATAAATTTTTAGAACCAATCATCTGATTCAATCGAAATGGATTTAGGAAATAAAATCTAAGTTTTGGAGTCTAGTGTTCAAGTAAATTGCTGTGAATACCAAATTTACAAACAAGTTTTCAAACCAAATCAAAAGGAATATTAGTAATCCTATCATGGAAAATCTTAGGAACAATCTACTAATAATTCGCAATTGAATACTACAAAAAAAAGCAGTGCACAAAATTCAAGTTTTGATATAGAGGAAAATAGCACCAATAAAAATACAAATTTTTCAGATGATTCAGATGCTTCTATTTCTGTAGCCTAATTTTTAAACTAGAAAGAAAGTGATGTATATATTAAATTTATCTAGCAACTACTATAGATATAATTTTTAGTATCTAAAATAAAAATTTTAGGGTCAATTATTTAATGCTATCGAAAAGAATCAAGAAAATGAGTCTCACTCTAGTGTTCAAGTAAATTTCGATGAATAAGGTGGTCAAATTAAAAAAAAAAAGGATTATTGGTTAAAACTTGTTTAGAAGAATTACTAATTGAATCATTAATTTTAATCTAAATATATTAAAATTGGAAAATGGTTTTAATTTTATCATTTATAACCATAATAATTAAAATTCAAAAAAGAATCATTACAATGCAATAACTAATGATCTGACGAGTATTCTAACTTATATTTGATGTGTTGGCTTCAAGGTTGGCGAAAAGAAATTCCAACAAAAAGTACCAATCCAAAATCAATAAAAATTTTAATGCTTCAAAAAAAATTAAAAACAATAAGACCAAAAGTAGACAAGTCAATAAAGTGAATAAATATTAATATGATGTTAGTTATAGTTAATTGCAATATCTTTAAACTATTTCAAATTAATTAAAGATAAATAATGAATCAGTCTACGGTTCCATAGAACGTGTTCCTTCAGATTTGACAGATAATACCTTACTAAAGTAGAGGTGTGATCTGTAAACTAGTAGTTAATATAAATAAACTGTAGTTTATTGTAAAACTGTAGTTAACTGTAGTTTTAAAAT